AACATTTGAAATATACATTTCTATGAGTTTTGCACGCTAGTTATTATGAAGCCACCTACGCAAGCTTCCTCCCATGGCAATTAAGCTTAGAAAGAAAGTTCTCATTGGATACTGGCAACAATTTAGGGAAAAGTGATCACAAAGCACAGGGTGAAGTACTCCCTCCCAGCTGTGCCATATACCCTGTTCATGGAAGCTTTTTTTTTTTTTCCTGTCTGTTTGCCTCCTAGGGGTTGAGACATTTCAACAGGGAGGCAGAAAAAAACAAAAAACAAAGAAAGCCAGAATTAGCTATGTCCTGGTCCATGTTTGTCCTTGACCAAGCTTACTGCTAATTCCATTACCAACTATTATCAGAACATGGTCTATGAGGTTATTACTTTCAATGGGATATGACTTTTGACATACATTTCCCCATTTGTATTTTAAACTAACAGTTACTGTTTATATATATATATATTAGCTTTATGTAGGTTGCCATAAAAGGAATTACCTGACATAACATTTTTTTAAAAAAAAATCAGGATCTAATCTGAGTCAGATTTGAATAATTTTACATACAGACACTAGATTGGATCCAAACTTAGTAATGCTTTTAAACAAATTAATTTAAATCAATGAGCTTTTGTTTAAAAATGCCCGTGAATTGACTCTTGGTGACTGCATCTAGGTAAACTTCTTGCCAGTGTTATAGAACTGATTTCCTATTGCTTTCTTCCAGGAAGTCTGAATTCTTGCTAGATGTATCTAATGTAAATTCCAGTAGCAATACCTTTGCTTTACAGTCTCACAAGTTTGAGCCAAGTATATGTGTATAAAATTATAGGAGTGTTCAACTTGTAGTTTTAATGGGCATTAAATGTGGTATACTTGTAGAAGGACAATCAAAGCTTTCCTATTATTGAAATGCCTCACTTTAAATTTGGGACATGATTAATGAAATAATAGTTTTTCAATAAATTTTACTGAGATTGTCACAATATATTTGTCAAGAAGCAGCTAAAAAATAAATATTAAAATGAAATGTTGCCCTTCTAGAGAAGAGAAAATAGTACAAGTTGTTGCTATATGTAGCTATTTTTAGAATGAACAGCTGCAACTACAAGTACAAACATGAGAAGTTAAAAGCATACTTGTCAGGCTTTAGATCACGGTGGACAATGCCATAATTGTGGAGATATTCTAGTGCCAGTACTGTTTCTGCAAAATACATTCTTGCCATATCTACAGGCAATGCTCCAATGTTCTTCAAAAGAGTTGCACAATCCCCTCCTAGATCACAACAAAAACATAGTTTCTGTGTTCATTATCAGACAATCAAAAGCTGACAAATATATCATGTTATACAGTGTATCTCTATCCATGTCTAATCAGAAGAAGAACTAACACTAGACTAGTAATTTTAAATAATGTCATTTTAATGGATCAAAAGATTGCCCACTATTTTAGTCTAATACATTATCTTTGAGATAATGGATGGAGAAGCTTCTGACTTCATTCTCAGTCAATGTGTGCAGGGAGCTGAGGAACACTGCATTAATAGAAAATGGAGATATTTCTGTATACTCTATCAGCAATTGCCATTCAGTGCCAAACAGATATTGACATGGAGGAAGACTGGGGAAGTATGAGGCAGATGGGAATATAATTTGGTGGTGACGAATCAGGGAAAATTTGTAGGAAGTATTTGGTGCCTGTTTCCTCTTCTCAATCAGTTGCCTCATTCTGGATCTAGCTATATTGCTTTGGCTGCTGTTGGTGAATGCCAGCTCTGTTAGCAAGATCTCTTTCATTCCCAACATAGTGATGGACAAATATGCAGACCTGGCATGTATTACTGAAACCTGGTTAGACAGAGCAGGTTTTGTAGTACAATATAATTAGTCATTCTATCTTGACGGATATGAAACAAATCCTAGACTGAGAAAATAATGAAAGTACTCTAGCATCTAAAAGAATGGGTAATCATCATATATAATTCTCTCTCTCTTCCTAATGAAACCCATTTTGATTAATACATCTACTATAATGTCTAAATAAATTCTGAATACCTTCTACATACTCCATGACCATGCAAAGATGCCGCTTGGTTTCAAAGGAGCAAAACATGCTGACAACAAAAGGATTTTCTGCAAAAGTTAGGATATCTCTCTCCACAAAAGCTTGCTGAATTTGGTTCCTCAAAATAAGGTTCTGCTTATTAATCTTCTTCATGGCAAACCGTTGACGGGTACTCCTGTGGCGCACCAAGAACACTGCACTAAGGTAACATATGAACAATATGTTATGTAGGAAATGAGAAAGGATATATCTGAAGTTTCACCCGTTTGACCAGTTCATAAAGCTAGCAAGAACTCACAAATGGAGAGGATTCACTGCACCAAGTCATTTGTCTTTCTTCTCCAGGCTCTACTTAAGTTTTAAAGTAATAAATAAATAAATTTTAAAAGACAGAATTTTATTCAAGTAATTCAGAATTCAAGTAATCATGAATAAAAGTGGAAACCAAGAAAGAAGAACAACTCTTAGAAACAAATCTATTTACAATTTTGCTTTGAAATACTGCATTTCTGTTTCATTCTTATATAACTTCCGTTAAAATATAACTTCTATAGGCAAATTTACTTTTCACTTTTCACTTTTATCAACCTTCTGTGTATTAAGATTTTTCATATCCTTTTGTTTGATTAAGTATTCCTCTGAATAATTTGGCCACTTTCCTTTCTTTGAAAGAGGCTTTCAGGTAGAAATGTGCAGCATTTCAAATCCAAAGGAGAAAAGGTGCTTTCAAGGAAATATGGGTGCATTTGCTGCACCTGTCAGCGCCTCCTTCAAACTGATAGGTACAGCCAGTGTGTTCAGTCAGATCCCTCCCAAAGTATCTTTTCCGCTTCAGATCTGAATAGCTACACATCCATACTACTAGGGATTTGCAAAACATTCTGTGTACAAACCATTCTGTGCACAGAACAGCTAGTTTTAGATGATGTGAGCCTGAGCCAAAACATACGTATTTTCAATGTTTTGTTCTGGATATGGTCCTGCTGCTATTGGTTTAGGCTCAATATGGGGTGGAGCCTAAATAGAATACAAGAGGGATCTGACTGAACACACTGGCTGTACCTATCAGTTGAAGGAGGCACTGACAGGTGCAGCAAATGCACCCATATTTCCTTGAAAGCACCTTTTCTCCTTTGGATTTGAAATGCTGCACATTTCTACCTGAAAGCCTCTTTCAAAGAAAGGAAAGTGGCCAAATTATTCAGAGGAATACTTAATCAAACAAAAGGATATGAAAAATATTTGTAAGGAAATAGGAGGCATTGAAGCAGCGACTGGTACAGTGAGAGAGCCATTCTGAAGCCAACTACCACTGGAGAAAAATTGGCTGGAGATTGGAGAGTGGGCTACAGAGGAAAAAATTGCTGCTGCAGACAACTGGACTCATTGATGGACTGCTGCATCTGCTGGACTGGTGTGCAAGTATCTAGTTGCCTGCTGCCTCAGAGGCAGCCTCCAGATTCCAGATCCTCAATTCCATTTTTATTTTCTCATTTGTTTGTAGTTTTAATTTTGATCCAAGATATTGTATTGGTAAGAATTTTAATTAGATATAAAAAGGATAAAAGCCAGCTTTTGAGTTTAAATACACCCCTCCCCCCAAATAAAGACAATTTGTTTACTGGGGGGAATTCTTCCAGTGAATTCTATGGCCACATACTGGTACTGAGCGCATTGCAACTTGCAAGAAATATGAGCGTATACATTCATTAAAGTCCTTTCTTTTTGTACTTTAAAAAGAGGCTTGACTATAAAGGCTTCTCTTCCCTCTTCTCTCCCTCCCCAGTTCAGGGTTCATTCATTACACTATCCAAACTATGTTGCCTCCTTATAAAAATCCCACTGAACAAACCAAGGCTGCAAGAACTAAGCTATTGAGAGGGAGGGTAGGGCCAATGCTTATTGGTCAAGGGAAGGTGAGGGCTTCATTTTAGCACTGTGCCTAGTCTTCCTGAGCCAGCAATGGTGCCATGAGATGGCCTCATGGTGACTCAGGCTGAGGAAGGAGCTCTTCCCCAGCATAAGGTGAGGTGGGTGTTGACATTTCAGGCAGACAGCCATTTCTCTCTGTCAGGAACCCAGGAATAGAAGTGATAGTTAGAGAAGGAGGAGTAACTACTGCGTCCTGAGTTTGAGCACTCTGAATGCACAGCATATGGTGGTACTGGTGACGCAGATGCACTAGCAGACCTCCAACTATCACCAGAGTGGGCATGCTTCAGCCATGGTATGCAAGGCACTAATCCACAGGGGAAGTGGGCAGTTGCAGCAAGCTGACATTTTGTCATGACACAGCTACACAAAGGGGTGAGATCTGCAAGCTGCTGCGACATATTTAAACTCCCCCCACTCCTTGCAGCCACCTCTGGGGGAAAGGACAATAGCTGATTAGAACCAGCTTGCCTCTAGCAAGTGTTGATTAGTGATGAAGCACTAGTCAGGTGGATATGGTGGTCCAAAGGCTTCAGACATGACATATGTTATCATACAGATAATGTCTTTGGGTGACCAGCAGTTCAGCCCAGTGGAGGATGCCAGATTCTGGTTGCTCTGACTCCTCATGTGCCACCTTCAGCAGGCAAATGATACCTTCCCTGTACTGCTAATGCAGTTGGGACTGTTGTCACTATAACATTTATCTCCACTTCACCTTGGACATTTGATCCACTTGACATGGAGTGTGCACTTCTTACCTTACTCTTGCTGCACACTGGTAGGGGTATATGGGAATGAGGAGGTCTCTGCTCCTATAACTCTGGCAGTTCTCATGTTGATTGTGCAAAATGATTTTGGCTTGGAGGTGGTCAGCACCAGGTCATTTCAGCTGTCACTAAGGCTGCCACCAATGCTCTTACAGACATACGCAATATGATTGCTCATTACTTCCACTTGGGTGTAAAGGGGAGAGGGAATCTAACTCTTTAGCCCTGTTCCACCATTACAAAATGGGGGAGAAACTCATCCCAGTAGTGGTGGGGATGAGCTCCCCACCCTGCACTGTCAGGATCAAGTTTGTGTATACATTTCTGTACATGATGGTTTTCTTGCTACAGGCATTATTGCTGTACACATGAAAATCAGACACACCAGTGTGACTCTAGAGGGACAGGGTTCATTCCTGCCCTTTTTGTAATAACTGGGCAAGATTACTATGGCACTTCCCAATAATGGTTTGTTTCTCTCTAAAGCAGCAGTGTGTGGGAGGGAGGGCACACTAACTTTCTCATCCCGTTATCCTCCTCCAAGCCATCAGCAGAACGCTATAGCACAGGGATCTTATTCCATTGCAGTGCTATCACAAATTTCAAGGGAGGGAGGCATTTTAAAGCTAGAAAAAGAGCCTACCATTTTATTCCTATAATTTACAAAAAAAAATCTGGCACATATAATCTCTCTTGCAGCTGCTTTAAAGTATTAATAGGCAATTATATGCATTCCCACATCATTAAGCTATTTTTTAAAAACTCATTTTTTTAAAAAAAATGCCAGTATAACCTATTAGTCTTACCCATATGCCCCATTACTGATCAATTTAATAGTTTCAAATTCCTCTTCTGATGGGGTTTTCTTGGCTTGCACAGTAGCTCCCCGATTCTGAAAATACAAAAAATAGCTTTCATTTCATTCATTCATATGTATCTTTTAAATACACATTTGATATTAATTACCATACCAGTTCTTCTTTGGAAGTATAACTGAACAGAAATAATATGATTTCATTGTGTTGTTAAAACTATAATCTTGTTTTATTGTAGACCATTTAAGAATATTTTTGGCTACTCTCTGACAATTTCCATTAAAAAAACTGGAAGGAATTTGGGCCTGTGGAGCTGAAGAAGTGAACAGAGTGCTTGGTGAGATAAGCGCTGCCCCTTGTGGGCTGGATCCCTGGCCTTCCTGGCTGGTATGAGCTGTGAAGGAGTGAAGGGGGAGCTGGATCTCAGTTCTGATGAATGCCTCCTTGCAAGAGGGGTTGATACAACCATTCATCCGTTGGGGGAGATGGGCAGCATACTAATTAATTAATTAATTAATTAATTAAATTCATTCATTCATTCATTCATTCATTCATTCATTCATTCATTCATTCATTCGGGCACAGATAACCCCCT